GTCATAATGGGGGAGAAAGAAACACAGAGGCGTGAAAGAAAAAAACGGCGAGGGGGGGGACAGCGGCAGGGGGGCTGCACGAAGGAGGAAAGACAGAGGAAGGAAAGAAAGACAGTGGGAGGGGAGTTGGGTGAGAGAATCGAAAAATGGAAGGAAACAAAAACAAGAGAAGACGAAGAGTGCATAACTCCCACCGGCTGAGAACGCAGACGAGAAAGAAAAACGAAATTGGCAGAGAACAAAACTGCTTAATATGACAAAATATTTCACTGCAAAAATTGGGGAAAAAGAAAAAAAGGCAAAAAAAAGTGCACACACAAGGAAAAAAAGTTGCACAATACATACTTTCCTTACGCCCGTTTTTCAAAAATTTAACACATACACATAACCATGTACACGCCGATTATTTTTACTTAAAAAACATCCCAGAATTGCACAAAAATGGCATTGCCACACTCTTCACTATATCCATGTACACTGCTTTTTTCTCATAATTAGAAAATTCACGAAAATACATGACAATTTTCTCAATCTTAAACCCGGTAAAAAGAACATATATAAATTACCTGATCGCGAAAAAAAAGTATATGAACATTTCACATATCAAATAAATAAAATATCGGGTTTAATCTTTACAATATGGTAACTGAGTTGGCCGAATTGTGGATTTGGCGATAAAGGTAACTGGACACTTTTGTATAATGGGAGCAGTACGAGTTCCGATTACGCATTATTTGGCAACACTCCTTGGCGAGGGCAATTAGCGTACGAGCAGGAGGTGGAGAGGGGCAAGTGGTTGGGGACGAACGTCATGCGAAGCGAAGATACCATGACAGCGGCCGTACGGGGTAATGAGGAACCCCGACCGGGAAAACAGGAAACGACAGACAAAAGCGGGCGTATGGGTGCCGTCAAATCTCCAACTCCACTAAACAAAGAGGCCGATAGTAACACAAAAAATAAAAACCTACAAAACCACAAAAAAACAAAACCACACACCAACATCCAGAATACCACCGAGAACCCCACTCAACTTAAAAAGAAACAAAATAAACACAATTACCCCATAACCCTAAATTATCAACAATATACCACCCTGTCCCTAAAAGCAACCAAACAAAATAAAAAAACCATAAACCCTATAACCTAGACGGGAAATAACACAGGCAGAGCAGCGGCTGAGGGCGGAGTGGCCCGAGGAAGGGCGGGGGGTCATAAATTAAGCGGGATGGTCCTCATAACTTGGGATGTCCTGCCCCGCGCCTTTTTATATTCCTCTTTATGCTCTTGGGACGGTCTTCTTCAGATTCAGGGGGCCCATGGGGGGGGGAAATAAGGGCCCTCGGTTGGTACGTGGGGTGATGCTACCTTTCCCCTTTACTAGCCGCCCAATGTCTCCGGCTTGACTTCTTTTCACTCATACCTTCCCATGGAATTCATCTCTTCCTGTCTTTACCCATCAGTTTAATCTTTTATTAAAGTTTCGAATTAGAAATTCTTCTTTCTTATGGCCCTTCTCGCTCCTTCGGTATGGCCTTAGTTGCTATCGGGTTTTTTTGGTTCATCCTGAGGGAATCTTGGAAATCCGGAATTAGGCCAGATTCTCAAACTCTGTTACCTTTAATATGACCCCAGCCCTAGTGTCCTTTGGCAACCCTTCCCCCCTTTCCCTCCCCCCTTTTTTCCTTGCTCCCCCCCCCCCTATCGTATGTTCTCCTAATTCACATATTCCCCCCCCCCGGTGTAAATCATAAACCCGGTTATATTTTTGTTTTTCTCTTATCTTTGCTGATCTTATTTTTTATTCCTCCGTTGTAGGAATTTTTTTCGCGTATATTTTCGTTTTTGCTTTGAAGCGCTAACGTGCACTGGAAAATAACTTTTTAAATATTGACATTATATTTGTATGTAATGGGGCGGTTTTTTTTTTTTTGAATGGTTGGTGACGTGCTTGATTATATGTAATAGATGATTGACAGAGGTAAAGTTTTTGGTTATATTTTATTTATTTTATATTGGACCACTGTTCCATTATTTCGGACCAACGGGTAAATACTTTTTTCGCGATCAGGTAAGGTCATTTGATACTGTTCTTTTTACCTTTCGGGGGTTTTATTAAGAGTGAGTAAATATTGTCATGTATTTTCGTTTTGAAACTTTTTCGTATATTTTCATCTTGTATGAGCAAAACCACAACTAAGCATGTTTGCTATTGCGCCCCCACCCACCGCCCCGGCCCAGTGTACATGGACCTCCCCTTTTTTTCCTTGGAAAAAAGCAGCTGTTGCTAGTGTTATTGAAGAAAGAAAAAGACTTAAAAACGCAGTCGCCGACTCAGGATATAGTGAAGAGCCCTGTGCCGCACCACCCCTTCCATCCTCCCCCCCCCCCCTTTCCCCTCCCTCTTTCCCCCCACCCCCCCCCCCTTCCCCCCTTCTTCTCTCCTTCCCCTATCCTCCCCTCCCCCCCCTTCCTCCCTCTTTCCCCCCCCTACTCCTTCCCTTGTCTATCCTTCCCCCCTCCCCCTCGCCATCCTCCTCCTCTTTTCCCTTCTCCCCACCCCCTCTCCCCCTCCCCCACCCCTCCCATCTCCTTCGTTTTCTCTTCTTTCCCTTTTTCCCTCCTCTTCCCCCCTCTCCCCTTCTTTTCTCGCATCCCCCCTTTTTTCCCTCCCCCCTTCCCCCCCTCTTCCTTCCCTCTTTTTTTTCCTTTAATATGCATTTGTGGCTGCTACTTCTCCGGTTTTTGATGTTTTGGACAGTAAAAATAAGTCTGGCGTTGTAACACCTGTTTATTTTTGTGGATGTGTTGCATGTTGTTGGTAACAAAAAAAAAAAAACGCTTTTTTTCGTTTTGACCCAGCGAAGTCTGGTATTGTGTACTTTTTGTCCCAATTTGCAGTGAATATTTGTCCATGATTAAGCGTTTTGTTAGATTAACAATTCTTCTAGCACTCACAGGCGTATTTTTATTCGGTCCCCACCCGCTGCACGTGCCACTCCCTGTCCTCGGAAGCACACGGACCCCCCACCGTAGGTTTCACCTTTCCCCTTTAAGCCACCGTATTCTACCTGGTTTAAGTAAGTTATTCAGTAGATAAATCATAAAAAGCCCAACAGATTGAAGACGACAAAGACTATCATTTTGCGTCTTTACAGTGCAAGACTGAAGACCAAAAGGTCCCCCCCACCAGGCTTACTTGGTTGAAAGAAAACACTCGTAATTTAAAAAAAAAAAAGAAAAGAACAAAAAAAAAAAAAAAATTCCCCCCCTCCTAGTTTACGGTGGGGAGGGGGCGGGAGGAGAGTTGGTCGCCCCTTCAATAAGTTGTCGCCTAACAATTTAAAATTGCCAATTTCTACCGTTTCACCTTACGGTTACCAATTTCGGAATGTTGAAACCCCGATCAACCCAAATATTTATCCAAAAACACTTTTTGGACTTCTCCTGAACATCAAAGCAGCATTGACAGGCATTTTAACATCCCGGCAACAAACGCGCAATCGTCTACCGCACAACTTCATTACAAATACTTAGGGTCAGATATTTAAAAATTATTCCATTGGCTTTTTCGTTGGAGAACTTAAAAACGTTTCTCCGGTATACAATTAGGATCTGACAAACATAATTTAATGCCAACAAGAACTATCATTTTGTAATTAAAAGACGAAGGAAATGCAAAAAACCCACTACTCCGGAACAATATAAAGGAGCACTTTCTACCTGACAATAAATACCCATTTCGAATGCACTGTAGCTACGGCATGGGATTTTAAAAAATTCCCAGAACACTGTCTTTTTCACACAACCACCAATCAATAACAGCCAAATACCCAAATTTTTTCAGATTTTTTACTTTGACCTTTTTGTTCCCCACTTTGTCGATTAAATGAAACAGAACCGTACTTAGTCTATTATTAATGAAGACCACATGCCCCCCTTTTAGGCACATATTTTTCACATGCCAGCGCAGAAGGTCCACACGCCCACACAAAACTAATGCGTAATCGGAAAATTGAGTACGCTCACACTATACCACAGTGCAGGTTGTGTAGGAACCTTATCGCCTCCAAAATGTCGCCAAACTACCAGTTACCATATTGTAAAGATCAACCCAGCGACTTAATACTAATCGAAAATTGTAGGCTTGAATTTCAAAAAATATTCAAAGTTCTTTCAAATGAATATCATTGGGAGAGAATAATATATTAACTACGCAAAACTTATTACACGTATGATGTCATAAATCATTTAAACCATCCAAGTTCCGAGCTGTTGATAGCGTATTATGCAGAACTCACCGCATACGGAGCTAAGTACTCACATACTATTCCCATACCTTATGCTGAATATAATTATAAGAAAAACTTTAAATAACTAGTCACTTTCGAAAATATGTCTGAATTCTAAAAATTGTGCAATAGGTGATTTTATATAGGAACTTTTAATTTGACAATTATCAACAAGAATCGGTCACGTATTATCAAAATTTTATTCCATGTGCATGATGTAAAAGATATTAGTTCTATGCATTAGGGTTCTGCTTAAAACTTGGAATTTAAACCATACATGTATTTCAGTGCATCGGTTCATAGAGATAACTTTTAGCTTTGCAAAATGTTCATAATATTTTACATTTTAACAATAGTTCCTCTTTTTTGAATTTTATATTAACACTCCATGTAATATAGTTCATCAAGTTAAAGAAAAGTACTGGTAATTGTTTACTAACAATTGTATTTCACGCTGAACATCATTATTCTTCATGATTTTATGCGAATCTATAACTGCGGATAAGACGACACACAGAAAAACTGCTTATTCTAAGTTTCTCGCATTAGCAGATCTTATATATTTGTTCAAATAGGAATGCGTTTCAATAAGCCATGTGTAAAGTGAATGATGGCCTGTAATGCTTATATAAAAGTTAAATCTTTAAACTCTTTCTCTAGCTGAGTATGTTTCTAAGTGACCTAAAACAGAAAATAAAATCCACTTACCTTTACTTTCTGCAACTTACAAAATTTCTATTTATCATTTTGATGTTATAAATATCACTTGTATATTATCACTTGTATTACTGTCTTTGTTGTATAATAAATTATCAAAAAATACATTTAGAAAATGCGCTTATTCCTATGTTAAAGCAGGTTATGAACATAAACTTACCATTACCATTTGAAAACAATTCGCCTGTGTCACTAATATTTACATGCTAATCATACTGACTGAATTAAGTAGTTCCTTATTAACTTGAGCTGGAACATCGCCAAATCAATGAATATGAGAACGCGTACTCCCGACACAGGATTTCGAGGAACCACTCGTTTACCTCTGAACAGTTTCACGTACTCTTGAACTCTCTCTTCAAAGTTCTTTGCAACTTTCTTGCACTCCCAAGCAACCCGACTCCCAGGAGATCGCATCGAAGGAGACTCAGTAGCTATGGGCCTCGCACCCGCTTTGGGTAACAGCCCCAGTCAGGGGAACGTGCGGCAGAGTCAACCTCCGGAATGCTCACTTCTATACGCCTAGTATATTACACTCGACACTTTTAAAAGCCACTTGGATGGATTTTCAATGCATACTAAAGCATTATCTAAATTTAAATAATCTAATTATCTTATCTAAATTTAAAGAAATCTTTTTTATCTAAAAAATTTTGTCTAAATTTAAAGAAAAAAATTAAAGATTTTTAATGGCATTCAAAGAGTTTCTATAAGTCAAATATAGGAATTAATCTTCTTTCTTTTTTATGCTACACAAAAACTAAGCAATGTGCCTCGTACGAATATTTTTGTTTCACTTTTCACAGAAGAAACAAGTTTTTCTGCGTCTAATAGTACGTCGCCCACCGCATCTTTTATATATCTGTTTAGTTCTTTTGAGACTTGATATTACAGTCTATGATATTGGTTTTATATTTTAAGGAGAGCATTAATTCTTGACTACATTGGTTAATGCGCTGATCTAAAAGTTTGAATCCTAAGGGCTTTTGAAAAGACTGGGCATGTATCCTTCTTTTGATAACAGTAAAAAAATACTAGCATTAATTGCTGTAATATTTAAAATTAAAAAAATTCACAACAGGCCAACTGTTAATTATACTAGAATGGCCAACAGGTCATTCTAGTATAATTTGCGCCTCTTAGATGCTGTAGTGGTTAGGGAAGCCTACTGCGATACCGAAGGGCCAGGGTTCGAATCCCGGAAAAAGCACGTATGTTTGTAAATATATATTGTATGTGTGGCATTCGAAGCATTATAAATACATGGCGAGCAGAAAATCCTCTCGAGAGGTTAGTGCTAGAGGAAGAGAGATAGGAGACTCTTGGACTCGTCTCCCCAAGGAGTGCTCTTCATCAAAATTTTGGCGGAACTGAGCGAAGTCGTACTGTCACCTGTTATGATGCTCAAAGCTCTAGCCAATGACAGGCTCAATCTTGCTGTCCTTGTCACGATGAATTTCGTCGGCTTGTTCTGGTGTTACTGTCAGAAAAGTGAGATACGTCACAAAAACAACAGCAGTATAATTTGCTGGAATATATAAAACAGAAGAAATATACCTTAGATATTCTAGATGCGGAATACCCTGCTGCCATGTCATTCATTGAATGAATTGCTCTTTTTCTCAGATTGTATAATGAAACAATTTCAGCGTTTAAATCTCCTATAGATTCACGTAGATAGCGTTATCATTATTACGTAGTAGATAACGTTATCATTATTACGTATAGATGATTGTATGATAGCATATATATTCTTTTTCGCTTATAAAATTTAATTGTATATCCTTTTGAAAGGAAAAAAGAAAAAAAATAGACTTCTCTTTTCTTCGACTGAACAAATTCTAGGGGAATTTCTCTTTTATATTTCCGCATTGTTCCAATAACTGCTTTAAATAACCGTTATTGAGGTGGTTATCTGGCGTACTTCAGGGCTAACATTCTTTAATCAATGGGTGTAAGTCAACTGACATGTGATAGACGTCTACTACCCAAATTTTCTTTCTCGCTGCAGGAGATCCTGGATGAATTATGAACCTATTGGTTCTGGAAGCTCCGAAAAGGTCACTTATAGGCTGGCCCGGGATCTGTCACGTTCTAGAGAAGATAGCTCTAGTAACCCGGGGTGGCGTCCCGGGGACGGTGGGTAATGTCCCTCTACGACGGGCAGCCCGAGCGACTGGCAGCATGGAAGTAAGAAAGGAAGTAGTGGCCAAACCTTCATTATAAGTGAAGCATTGCTCCGAAGCTTCGGTCACCAGATGGGGTGTTTTTGTTTGCATTCATAAGCTCGCTTGACAGCGTTCTGATAGTATTTCGACACATGACAGTTCCATACAAATCGAAAAACGGGACACTTCCGCATAAACGAAACATTCCTAGTGTAATGGATAATAGCAGCTTGTATAGTTTAGTGACATTTACGCAAAAATCACATCTTGGTTATATTTGAATAACTAACAACAGCGATTTTCATTATGAATATTTTTTTTTAAATTCTAAGCTGTTAAACTATAAAAATATAGATTTTATCAAAAACGTTATGTTTAAAGAATAAAAATTATCTCACCGTACCTTTAAAATCGTATACATCTTCCGATACCTTTGATAGAGTGTGAGTGAGTGAGCGCCACCAAGGAAGACCATTAACCTGGCCTTAACCTCACAATGTGTTATCTTCCTGGCAGAAACCCTCCACTCCCTACTCCGGGAAGGCAGCCGAATAGACAGCTAAGAGCCTCATAAAGTCTACATAAGTAAGCTTGGATAAGTTTACATAAGTCCTAGTAAGCTTGGATGTTGTTGTTCAGGGAAAGAAGGAAACTGTTAGGAAGTACCTAAAATTAAGCAAAGAAGCAATCAAAAGACTGTTAGGAATCTCTGTTAGAATAGGCAGAAACTTGTGTTAGATGAAATAAAGAAAGGAGGACTCTGCTTGAAAAATTAACTGCCGTGGATTTTTATGGACTTGCTAAATGTCTACATGCGGATGCTAATCCTGACACAACTGTCATATATTTATGGGGCTTTTTTAAAGTCGTTGGTCCTGCATGGAGGAAAGATGTAACCTATTAAATTATTGCACATAGTAAACTTTAAAAAAAAAAGAGAGCGAGAGATAAAAAATGATTTAAAATTATCCTAGCACCCAAACGTAATTTAACGCAAATTACTTTCCATGTGCCTGACTCTTATGTAAAAACATTTAAAAGATTGTGTACCTGTTATCACTAAGATAACAAATTCCTGCATAATTTAGTTTCTTTGCACAAACTTAAACTGGAGTTGTTTTACAAATTGAACAATGCACCTACATTTTCTTTCGTAGTACTTGCAGACAGGATAATACATACATAAGTACAAAACTGAATATTAAAGTGAAAAACTAACATGATACTGAGTACAGAAATACAGAAAGCTGATCCCTTAATACCTGCATACATAACACTTAAAAATGCATACGTAATACATGAAAACTAAAAACTAAAACTGATAAACAAATAATACAAAAACTGATCATCATTAAGTAATGCTATGTAGTCTAAATCCTAGCCAAGTACGAACTGACCTTCATAGTACATGCAGAGAAGGAATAAATACAGACTTGAGTACTTTAAAGTGAACATAAACAGAAAAGTACAGCACCATACTCAGTAAAACTGATATCTGATTCCAAACACTTGAATACATAATGCTGATACTAATTACAAAGAGAAACTTACCTACATTAATTCCATAGTTAGTTTTATCACCTTAGAACATGCACATAATTTATACAAAACATATAATTAAGCAATTAAGCACTAGGGAGAGATTCAAACATGCAATTGATCACATAAATACAGATATTCTCTCCCTAAATTTTACTTACATAAAAAGTTGAATATTTATTAAAATTAAGAAGGCAAAAATGCCATACCAATAATATATCATCAAAACTTAAGTTGAGGATGATAACATAAGTTGACCTTGCCCTTCTTGAACCTACTTATCACAAACTTGTAATTTAAATACACGATTAGTAAGTGTAGGAAAAACTCATTGCTGTTGAAGATTTTACTGGCTCAACGATCTGGTCTTGCGAGTCCTAGACCTGTACATTAATTGCAAAAGTAAACATTTAAAGAATATAGGCAGGGTTTGCCCATAGTCCTAATTATCTAAGTTAGTCTTGGGTTGAGAGGTCCGATTGGTGTGTGATTCCCTAAGCACTTGATTATTTCTATTTAACAGATTGAATTACTGTAGCTTTTATTTGCTGTTTTGTTTGTTCTCATATTTGCCGCCCATTGTGGCCAGTAAGCTTGATTTGGCTTTCTTATATGGTACTGTGCCGTCCGGTTTTTGTGCAGTGGAAGACGTACGTAGTGGTCTGGATCCCCCTTCTCCACATTGACATCGTTTTCTGTGTCACTCAGGCTGAATCTATGCAGATAGGTCAGGAATGGGCCATGACTGTATAAATAAAACTGTGTCTGACTACCACTATTGCAATTTAACTCTAGCGTTGTTTTTGGAAAGAACATATACGTTCTCTCCTTCTGTATCTGCTGTGTCCCTCTGGCTTGCCATCTGTCTATCAGTGTTTTAGAGTGATCTTTTTGAGATGAGACCTAGGTAATTTATCTGGCAGTTCTGTTCTTGAGACCTCCCTTTGCCGCTTCTTTTGCCAGGGTGTCTGCTTTCCTCATTGCCTTTTATGCCCACGTGATCCGGAACCCACGTGAGGCATGGCCTTTCTGATGTGCAGAAGACTGAGGAGGATTTTTCCAATTTCTTGGACAACTGGCTTCTACTTTTGTAACCTTTGATTGCGTCAAGGCTAGAGGCAGAATCACTGTAAATAGTAATGTGGGTAAGTCTGTTCTCTTCACATAATTAATTGCTGCTTTAAGTGCTGCCAGCTCAGCTTGGAATACTGAGTTCCTACTGCCAAGTCTTCTTTTCCATTTATACACAATCTGTATTACCTTTTAGAACGCAGAAGGCACTGCCAGTACCCGTCTCGGTTTTTGAGCCATCTGTAAATATAGCTGTGTGATTATCTTTTGGTGTCACATAGTGGCCTAGAATACACTTTTTAGATGTGTTTCAGCCGGATGTCCTTGCGTCACTGGCTTGTGTTTTTCAGTCTTCAGCAAAGTGGTGTTAT